GACCTGTACACACTGAATACTGAGTCCCCTCACGTTGCTGCGACTACATCCGCGTCCGCGTTAGGTCAGCTGTCCGCCCCCTGCTCGTGTCGCTCTTTGGCACACGAGACTGTCCTCTGGCACCACCGCCTTGGCCACCCGTCTGTGCAGCGGCTTCGTGCCATGCACTCCCGGTACCTTGTCTCTGGCCTGCCCAGGGTCCTTCCTGCCCTCCCACCCTCGCCTGCTCCTACCTGTCTCCCCTGTGTCGAGGGACGGCAGCGCGCCGCTCCTCACTCCTCCTCGTTCCCCCCGACGACTGCTCCCTTGCAGACACTCCACATGGACGTGTGGGGCCCAGCCCGCGTCCGTGGTCAGGGTCAGGAGAGGTACTTCCTGATAGTTGTTGACGACTACTCGCGCTACACCACGGTCTTCCCCTTGCGCACCAAGGGTGAGGTCCCTGATGTCTTGATCCCTTGGATCCGCAGAGCCCGTCTCCAGCTCACCGAGCGTTTTCACTCGGACTTTCCTGTCCTGCGCTTGCACTCTGACAGAGGTGGTGAGTTCTCCTCCAACCTCTTGGCAGCCTACTGTGCTGAGCACGGCATTGAGCAGTCGTTCACGCTTCCGACTTCTCCACAGCAGAATGGGGTTGCGGAGCGCCGCATTGGCCTGGTCATGGAGGTCGGCCGTACCTCCTTGATCCATGCGGCTGCCCCCCACTTTCTGTGGCCGTTTGCGGTCCGGTACGCTGCACATCAGCTCAACCTTTGGCCCCGTGTCTCCTTGCCGGAGACCTCGCCCACGCTGCTGTGGACGGGGGAGGTTGGCGATGCGTCGCGTTTCCGGGTCTGGGGGTCTCGAGCTTTTGTCCGCGATTCGTCTGCGGACAAGCTCTCCTCCCGTGCTGTTCCGTGCGTCTTCCTCGGCTTTGTCCCGGACGCGTCTGGTTGGCAGTTTTACCACGCCACCTCGCGCCGAGTCTTGCCCTCCCAGGACGTCACTTTTGACGAGTCCGTCCCCTACTACCGCCTCTTCCCCTACCGCACTGCCCCGCTCCCCCCCCGCCTCTCTTCCTCGCGCCAGGTGCTGCTGTTGCAGACCCCCTCCCCCCTCAGGGTGCCGCTCCCTCAGGTGTGTCTCAGGTAGACCCGGTTGAGCCTGTTGAGGTAGCTGTCGACTCTCGTCCTGCTGGGGGTGGTGAGCCTGGGGGTGCTGAGCCTGGGGGTGTGGAGCCTGGAGGTGTGGAGCCTGGGGGTGTGGAGCCTGGGGGTGTGAAGCCTGGGGGTGTGGAGCTTGAGGGTGCTGAGCTTGGGGGTGTGGAGCCTTGTGGTGCTGAGCTGCGGAGTCCGGAGTCTGGGGGTTCTGAGTCTGGAGGTACTAGCCCTGGGAGTCCTGCACCTGGAGGAGCCCTCTCCTCGGAGCAGCTGCGTGCGTGGTACTTAGAGTACTGCAGCCTCCGGAGAGGTACCGCTCGAGCCGGACGTACTACTGGGACTGGTGCTAGTGCTTCTTCTCCCGTTCGAGAGCTCCCCTCCCGCGAGCGGATCCGTGAGTGGTACGAGCGGCGCTGCACTCTTCGGAGTGGCGTGCCTTGTGTTACGGACCCCGCTGCTGTTGGAGCTGCTGCTGGTGCTGAGGACCCGGGCGTTGGAGCTGCTGCTGGTGCTGATGACCTGGGCGTTGGAGCTGCTGCTTGTGCTGAGGACCCGGGCGTTGGAGCCGCTGCTGGTGCTGAGGACCCGGGCGTTGGAGCTGCTGCTGGTGCTGAGGACCCAGGCGTTGGAGCTGCCGCTGGTGCTGCGGACCCGGGCGTTGGAGCTGCTGCTGGTGCTGAGGACCCAGGCGTTGGAGCTGCCGCTGGTGCTGCGGACCCGGGCGTTGGAGCTGCTACTGGTGCTGAGGACCCGGGCGTTGGAGCTGCCGCTGGTGCTGAGGACGTGGGCGCTGGAGCTGCTGCTGGTGCTGCGGACCCTGGTGCGGGTGTCCCTGATGGCTCTGGTGTCGCTGCTCGGTCTCGGCCGTACTTTGTTCCGCTCCTTCAGCAGGTTCTTGGTCAGCTTCCTCCTCCTTTTCCTCCTCCCTCCTTAGCGTGTCCTCCGCCTGTCCAGCTGCAGTCGGCGTTACCGTCTGCCTCCTCTCTCCCTGGTCCTGCTCCTTACACTGGTCCGACTGGAGGTCTTACTGAGCGGCGTGAGCCTGCGTCTCGTCCTGCGTCGCCTGAGTCTCGTCCTGAGTCGCCTGTCCACACTGCTCTCTCTAGTAGTCGAGTCCAGCGTTAGCGTCTTCCTGCTGTCCCAGGCACTCACCGAATGGCGCTTCGTCCGTCCACTGCTCCACAGCGTGTCCCACTGCCGTCTCCTCCTGCTTCCTCTCTTCCTGCTCTTGCTGACCCTGGATCAGACTCTCTTCGTGCTACCAGTCCTACTGTCACGCGTCTCCTGGCTACTGTTGTCACTGACCCTTCCTTTGAGTCTGCTGCTGCGTCTGCCTTAGTTGCTGAGCTTGTCGACTTTGCTGCTCGCTGTCGTCTAGACTACGCTGCTAGCCTAGTTGCTGAGTCTGAGTCTGTCTGTCCTCCGTCCGTCGGGGGTGAGTGTGCTCTTGGCACTGACGTCCTTGAGGACAGGCAGGAGGAGTTTGAGTGCTTTGCTGCCGCTTCACCCCATCTCGTGTCCATGCTTGTTGCCCCTGAGGGAGACCCGGATGCACCAGACATCCCGACCCCACGCTCTTACGCAGAGGCGATGGCCGGTCCCTACTCCTCTCAGTGGCAGTCAGCCATGGACACAGAGATGGCTTCCTGGGAGTCCACAGGCACCTACGTCGACGAGGTTCCCCCACCTGGGGCGAACATCGTCAGTGGCATGTGGATTTTCAGGGTGAAGCGGCCGCCGGGCTCTCCGCCTGTCTTCAAGGCGCGTTACGTTGCACGAGGCTTCAGTCAGCGAGAGGGAGTTGACTTCTTCCAGACCTTCTCCCCGACCCCGAAGATGACCACTCTTCGGTTTCTGCTGCACGTCGCCGCTCAGCGTGACTACGAGCTCCTCTCGCTTGACTTCAGCACTGCTTTCCTGCAGGGCAGCCTGCACGAGGAGATCTGGCTGCGCCGTCCACCTGGCTTCACTGGGTCGTTCCCTCCTGGTACCCAGTGGAGCCTCCGACGGCCAGTCTTTGGTCTCCGCCAGGCGCCTCGTGAGTGGCACGACACACTGAGGACTACGCTTGCGGCTCTTGGGTTCGCGCCTTCTACTGCTGACCCGTCGCTGTTTCTACGCACCGACACCTCACTGCCGCCGTTCTACGTCCTTGTGTACGTCGACGACTTGGTCTTTGCTACTGCTGACATTGTGGCACTCGCCCACGTGAAGTCAGAGCTGCAGAAGAGACACACGTGCACAGACCTGGGTGAACTGACAAGCTATCTTGGCTTGCGGATCACCCGGGACAGAGCACGCCGCACCATCACCTTGACTCAGCCACACATGGTGCAGCAGGTCCTTCAGCGCTTACGCTTCACGTACTCCTTGCCTCAGCCCACTCCTCTGCCTACCGGTCACTCGCTCTCAGCTCTGCCTTCGGATGAGTCCGTAGAGCCGAGTGGCCCGTATCCAGAGCTTGTGGGTTGCCTCATGTACCTGATGACCTGCACTCGACCAGACCTTGCATACCCTCTCAGCATTCTTGCACGCTATGTCGCTCCCAGCCGTCACCGGAAGGAGCACATGGATGCAGCTAAGAGGGTGTTGCGCTACTTGTGCAGTACGTCGGGCATGGGGCTAGTGCTTGGAGGGCGAGTCCCAGTTGTTCTCACTGGGCACTCAGACGCTTCTTGGGCAGACGACCAGGCTACTCAGCGGTCGTCTCAGGGTTACTCCTTCAGTCTTGGCTCTGGTTCTGTTTCCTGGCGTTCTACTCGCTCTTCTTCTGTTCTCAGCTCCAGTTGTGAGGCTGAGATCTACGCCACAGCCATGGCGGCCCAGAAGCTACGCTGGCTCACCTACTTGCTGACCGACCTTGGAGAGCAGCCTCGTTCTCCTCCAGTGCTGTACGTCGACAACAAGGCAGCCATTGCCTTGTGTGAGGAGCACAGACTGGAGCACAGAACGAAGCACATTGCTCTGCGTTACTTCCTTGCTCGAGAGCTGCAGTAGCGTGGTCAGCTTCGCCTGCGTTACGTGGCCTCTGAGGCCAACACTGCTGATGTGTTCACCAAGGCGCTTCAGCCTTGTGACCATCAGCGCTTTTGCACTCTTCTAGGCCTTGTGCCTACTGGACCTCACTTGCTTACTTCTTGAGTCTGTTTGTACTGTGATCTCTATATATATACTTGCATGTTTACTCTTGTTAGGTTGTGATCATTGTACCTTTTGCTGTATTATAAACCTGCATGTGAACTGGTCTTGTGACCACTTGCTTGTGCTCGGAATTTGTGTGGTGTCCTTGAGATCCACCCTGAGCTTGTTTTGCCTTGCTTTGCCTTGACTGGTCCTGTGACCCCTAGTTCTCCCCCACTTTGCCTATGGGGGTGTGTCAAACATTATATATGTTGTGTTAGTTTAGGCTACAGTGGGTTAGCCTATAGGGGGTACACAATTCTAGGGTTAGGTACTTGTACTCATTTCATTGCTAGTTCATTCATTCCTGTTCAGTAATTCCAACAATGGTACCCAGCGCTTACCGGTAGTACCTTTCTGAGTGGTGGAAAGCAAGGTCTTCTTTAGCTTCTGCAAAGCACATATGGATTGTCCTGTTTGATGTAGTTTAGAATCATAGTATCAGTAATATTACGCTGCAAAAATCAGGATATGGCCAAAATGAGTCTAACAGATTCAGTGTAGGAAAAATTTTATGCTGTTTTTGTCAGGGAAAAAACTACACCTATGCATCAGACTTGACTACACCTAGAACCCTGATTACTAAGGGTCCCCCAAAACGAATCTGAAGCCCTGATGTGGGTACAAGAACAATGAGAGTTTCACACATACAACCTCATTGCCATAGCAGCCAGTGCTGCTTCAATCCTGAATAACCTCATCCTCTGTAGCACCTGGTACTGTCACACCCTCTGCAGCACCTGCAGCTGTCACACCCTCTGCAGCACCTGCTCCCGTCACACCCTCTGCAGTCACATCCTCGAAAGTCACCCTGTGGAGCGCACCATCTACATTCCCACCCTCTGGAATCATACCCTGTACAGTCCCATCCTCTGGAATCACACCCTGCACAGTGACACCCATCGGAGTCACACCATCTACAGTCACACCCTCTATAGTGAACCCATCAGGAGCCACTATGCTCTCCAGCATCATCCTCTGCAGCGCCTGCTGCTGTCACGCCTTCTACACTGACCTCTGCTGCTGTCACACCCAATAGAGCCACGTCCTTCTCAGTCACTCCCTCTAGAGTCAACCCATCAAGAGGCAGTAGGTCCTCCAGCATCCAACTATCCAGCCCAGCTTGCCTGAATTTGCATATGAAGCAGCAGAAAACTCCTGAATGTGACTCAGCATCGCATCCCACTCTTCTGCATCCCCCTGCAACCCTTCCTCTCCTTCCTCAATTTCTCTCCACACCCTGCCAAATTCCTGTCCCCTGTGCACCCAAAGAAATCTCAGCGTAGCGGAATTTCTCATTGGTAAGCCATTTTGGAAGCCATCTGAACAGCCATTTGGGAAGCTGTTTGGGAAGCCATTTGAGAAGCCATTTGGGAAGCCGTTTGGTTAGCCATTTGGAAATCCCAACTTGTCTCCAATCAGCTCTGTCCAATTATCCAATGGAACTCCAACTTCTCCAGCGATCAGTGCCTCTTCAAGAGCATCTCCAATCAGCAATACCAGGTTTCTTGCTCTTGTCGTGATCTGTGTGTCCAGATCTTTGAAAGAGTCTTTGAAATCTTCCTGAAGAAGCAAAAGCTCATGTGTGATCTCTGGAGCGCCAGGGAAATCCCCAATCAGCGAGTCCAGATTGCTTACTCCTACGGCGACCCGTGTCTCTTCCAGAGCATTCCTGGGCACCAACGGCTCTCCATCTGTGATTTCCAGGCCATCCCCAATCAGCACCACCAGTTTGCTTGCTCCTGCAGTGATCAGTGACTCTCCCAGAGAATTCCCAAGCAACAACGCCTCTCCGCCTGCAGTTTCTGGAGCATTAGGGGCATCCCGGATCAATGCTGCTAGGTCTCCCGCCCCCCCCAAATTCCTGCTCTTGCAGCAAATGCTTTCCACGTCTGAACATCATCATCCTCTGCAGCACCTGCTCTCACGCCCTCTGCACACATCCTCTGGAGCCACACCCTCCATAGCCACACCCTCCACAGTGACACCCATTGGAGCCACACCCCTTATATTCACACCTTCCTCAGTCACACCCTCCACAGTCACACCCTGCGGTCATCCATCAAGAGGCATTATATCCTCCAGTATCCAAGCGTCCTCCCCAGCATTGCCCGGCTCAGAAGACGCAGCAGCAGCAACCTCCTGCATGTGACTCAGAACCACATTCCACTCTGCATCCCCTTCCATCCTTTCCTCTCCTTCCTTCCTTGACTCCCCCCCACGCCCCCCTTCCTCCCATGTCTCTCCAGACTGCCCTGCCGGCTTCCTGTCCCCAGCACACCCAAATTCATCTGCGTGTAGCGCCATCCGATCATTCGGGAAGTCATTTGGGAACTCAGGTTTGTCTCCCATCAGCTCTGCCCGATCATCTTCTCCTTCTGCGCCAAGTGCCTCTTCAAGAGCATCCCCAACCACCACTGCAAGATTGCTTGCTGTTCCTGCTACCGGTCCCTCTTCCAGAGCATCCCTGATCAGAAAACTCTCTTGATCTGCCATCACCGAACCATCAGTTGTATTCCCAACCAGCACTGCCAGATTGCTTGCTCCTGCCGTGACCCGTGCCTCTTCCAGAGAATCCCCAAGCAGCAATGGCTCTCCACATGCAACGTCTGGGGCATTAGGGGCATCCCCAATCAACGCCGTTAGATCCGCCGCTCCCCCCATCACCAATTCCTGCTCTTGCAGCAAACGATTGCCACGTGTGTTCTTTAGAGCAAGCTGCAAGCCAAGAGCCGTGATTTTACGGTTGGCAGGAGTAGGGTAAGCTGGTTCCGCAAAAGCACATGCCCTTGCCGCTCTGTTGGAATACCCTGCAGCCGCACATGCACTCTCTTTTGAGTCGAGGGCCATCAAGCATGTGTTCCCCGCATCTGCACACGCACTTTCGCTTGAAATCAATTTCATGAAGCATCCACGTGAATAGTGGTCCTCATCCTCCCCTCCATCATTGTCTTCCCCACTCCCATCCGCACTCCTCTCCACAGCTTCTTCTCTGCCCTGATCTTGATCCCGATTCTCCTTCCAATTCACACTCCTCACAGAACCCGGCTCCCCTTTTGATTCTGATCCATTCATGCTGACATTGCAAGACCCTTCCCATACGGGTGCATCAATTCTAGGGCATGAGGACCCTTCCCCACCCGCACCACCACGGCACATCCCACCCACATTTCCATCATCCATATCAACAATTACACCTCGTTTTGAGGGCCTTCTCTGTACAGCCGCCCCCCTGTCACAATTTATATCTCCACCCTTGCCTGCCTGCTCCTCGGGCAGTGGAAAGTTCGTCTTTGCCCGGGTCCCGCGGAGCTCCCGAGCAGCTTGGTCGAATGCACGGGCAGCAGCTTCAGGAGTGGAAAATGTTCCGAGCCACTTGCGTATATTTTTAGCTGTGTCCTCTATTTCTGCCACCCATTGGCCTGCCTTTCTCTGCCGCACTCCGCGGTATTTGGGGAAAGGAGTAGAGGGAGGTGGGGACTTGCGCTTTTGCTGCTTCTGCTGCTGCTGCTGTTGCTGCTTCTGCTGTTGCTGCAGCTGCTGTTGCTGGGTTTTCTGGTCTTGGGACAGCAATGCAGTCTGTTCCTCTGCTGCTGCTGCTGCTGCTGCTGCTGCTGCTGCTGCTGCTGCTGCTGCTGCTGCTGCTGCTGCTGCTGCTGCTGCTGTTGCCGCTGCTCGCTCTTTCATTTCAGCTCCCTGCGACAGACGTGATCTTCGTCTCCTAGAAGTATTAGCAGGTGTCTTACCGCCACATCCAAACGACCTGCGCCGTCCATTACGTCTGCTTTTTTCCTGCGGCCAATCTACTGCGAAATGGAATTGGTTCTGAGTGGTACTAGTAGTAGCGGCAATTCGTGGCAACTGTGGTGTCAGGATTCTAGCCACACGGGCAAGGTTTAGTAATAGCTCTGTTTCCAACCCATGATTCTGGTTCCCTTGCTCAGAAAGCTTTCCGTTATCATTCTGGCGACAGGAATCGAACCCAGGACCTCCAAGCGATGGAGCAGACAAGGTGGGATGGGGGCTACTGTCAGCAGCTGGAGGTTGGTCCTCAGCGGACGGTTGGCCGTCAGGTTGACGGTTTCCATCAGCATTTTGCAGCCTGTCCGTCAGAAGGTGCGTGAGAAGATTCGATATTGCGAGGAACGCTTGTTTGAGAGCGACATTGAATCCTGAGTCGGAATCGGATCCGTTGGAGAGTTTTTCCACGCCCGCATTACCTTTATCTCCCAGCCTCGCTGAAGTGAGATCATTCAGCTTGTGCGAGGAGGACTCCTCGCCGGAATGCTCTCCGCTCGCCGGATGATAAATTTCCATAATGTTAAATCTTCTGGAAGAGATCGCTGTACGCCGCCACACACTCAGTTAACTCGAAGCTTTGAAAAAGAAGACGAGAGGGGTCACGGTACCGAGATGCTGATTGTGTGAATAAAACAACCTGTTTGAAACAACCTGAGAGGAATATCTTAGAGAATGAAGAGGAGAGGCACCCACTTCTTGATCCACCTGCCGATGATGTGGATAAGGTGCTGGGCTACCGTCGTTCCGTTGGAGTGGCCCAGTTTCGTGTTCCTAAATTCCTTAACCAACCAACTCACTTTTCACCGCTTTGCGTGAGCCACCTCAGTTAACCGCATTCAAACGAACTTTGCCTACTCTCTGTGTGGCCACCTCAGTTAACCATTGTCCCTGGTGAGTTGAAATTGGGTGCTCTACGGCGAATGTTCCTGGGAATGTGCTGGATGCGACTTTCCCTTGCATCGCTGACCGTTGATCCCCCCCGAAGAGTTGACGGCCACCTCAGGTAGAATAGGACGCTATCATAGCAACTTTCCTGTCCAGTCTCTCGTGCTAGCGATTGTAGTAAATCCAACAGATGCGTGGACCTTGAATCATGTCCACGATCAGCAGGAGCTCAAGTGGAATACTAAAGCAGTTTGTTTGTAAAGCGCGCTTCAGAATTCGCCCTAGCAGTGCTGGCCTGATTTGCGAGCGAGTCGCACAATGGCAAAATTCACAGATCCATACCAGCGCAAAATTTTCATTTTTGAGCGCACGGAAGGCTCCGTGTTCGCCTAAGAAAATATCCAGAGAAAATCAGCATTCCTCCAAACGTTTCCCTTCCGCGTCCGTATGTGTTTTCATAAATCAGAAATTGCACTACAGCAGTTCACCACCCTAGGCGCAAATGTCCATATCGCATGGGCAGGACTAACAGCCAGTAACACTTAGGTCGTTTCTGAGGATACTGACAGGCATCTCTACAACAACTAGTACTGAGTTAGAACTCAGGATTGTTCTCAGGAGCAACACTGAAGTCCCCGACTGCTCGGCCTAATCATCCGGAGGTTCTCAGAACAACACTAAAGCCCCCGACAGCTCGGCCAAATCATCCTGAAATAGTCTGGATGATTTCTGAACCAGCCCCATATGAAATAGGATTCATTGACAAAACATGCGGAATGTACCTGAGATTCAGGGTGTTTACCCTGATACCGCGAGCCATACCATACCTAATCTGCATGCCGATATGTTGATTCTGTATGGGGTTTCAAAGGTCAACCATCATCTGTTGATGGGAGTCAGCGATCACTCATCCCATAAGTTCATTTTTGTGTCATGTGTGGAAACAGAGACTCTTTCTGATTGGCAGGTGAGTGACGCGAGGGAGAGAAAAATGGTCCCATTGGTGTGTGGACCTTCTTTGGGTCAACGTTCCGCTCTGTTCGTGGAGGCGAACGAGCGGTGGTACGACTCCCGTCAACATCGACATGGAAGGGTGCTGAGCTAGTGCAGTTCACCAACATGGTCAACTCTCCTTCAAATGGTCAATGATGCTACAATGCATCAAGGTCCACCGGGGGTGAGCCGGGGCGTAGATTGGAACACCAGCAACGGGCCGCTCGTTACTGAACTATATACGTTTGAAGAATAAAACATGTACAGTGGGTAGTGATGCATAATATTGGTTTGTGATCCACAATGTTTTCAAATATTTTCATAACGCAGAATCACATTTTCCAACTTGCAGTTGCATTGCCACATGGTGAACTCGGCGAATGCCTGATAAACGTCGTTATTGGGGGTTTTACCTCGAAATTCCTGTGTATAGATTAGGACGTGTCAGTGTTTTCCTCTGATCGGCTGTGATCTGGTCGGGGCTGATCTGATCGGGGTGCCCCTGATTACTGTACACGTGCCGCCCGATCAGATGAGATATTCCAAGAATATTCTACGACGGTGCATGACAATCGTGCCACCATTTACTGTCACTTTCACGCCCACTTTGGCGAGGGCCCAGGAACAGGGCATCACCCCCTTTTGCGCCCATTTTGGCGAGGTGGTAATTTCGCATAAATAGGTGCCCAGAAACCCAGGGTGGTTCTTTGAGCGAGGGCTTCACGAAACCCATCATAACATTGTAACTTCTCGCTGGCGTCGCTTGGTACCCCAAACGAATACAATCAACAAGTTGTCGGTGATTGTGTGGGATTGTGTTAAATTGGGTTGTTTAGGCGGTTGATCGAGTTGGGGCGATCAACTGATCTCAATCAAGTAATTGCCCCCGATTGCCTGAAATCGCCGCCCTAGCTTCCTAGAAGTTAGTGACCGTCTCTGATCGGGGCAATCAGAGGCGACCCGTGACACGTATGTACTTCCCTAAGGCTGCCCCTTACTGTTTTTACCTAGCTTAACGACCCGGGGGTCTAATCATGCTACGAAAACAATGGGGACTAGTATCAGTTGGGGTACATATAACTGTCAGAACTATGGTATATTGTAGGCTGTAGTGGGGTAGACAATATGGGGTACAACTCTTTTAGGTTTTCATACTTGTACCCACATGCTTGCTAGTTCATTCATTCCTCGTTATTATTCTCACCAGGGCTTAATTTATCAGACATTTTTGGTCTGAATTTCTGGATTCTGAAGACATTTTTACTTGTTCATCTGATGTCGTAGACATGCTGTTTAATTTCGTCTGATTTTTTAGAGAAGCTTCTTCTATTCATCTGATTTCTCAGACAGCCTTATACAGTTCGTCTGAGACTGCAGATATCGAGTTTTTTTCGTCTGAAGGCAAAACTCTCGAATGATGTATCCACCTGCCTGGCAGAGGCAGGAGACAAAATTCGAACCAACAACCTTAGTCTTCACAGTTCACATTCTACTGGCTGGACCGCTAGGGCTGGTTCCTAACCTCCCTATTATTTAATAAGTACATTCATTGCTAGTATATGTTCTCAGAAATCTCATACAAGTATTTAGGATTCGTCTGAAAAGCTAGACAATGTTACAGCTTTGGTCTGACAATAAGATAAGGAGCCAGGACCCGGTCTTGACATCAGACGGGTCATTCTACTAAAGTTAGCCCTGATTCTCGCATCGTATCAGAGCAGAACCGTTCCTAGGGCCCACTGAACGTTCCGCCATGCCCTAACTGGATTTTTTTTTAGCTGCCCCTGCAGCCGCGCTGCTCTTGCAGCCCGCGTGCTGCTTCTGCGACCGTGCTGCCCCTGCAGCCGCATGTCGCCCCTGCAGCCCGTGGGCGCTGCCTCTGCAGCCCGCGCACCGCCCTGCCGAGCCGCGCATGTCGCGGCACCCCCTGGGCGCCGTCCCTGCTTGTTGCAGCGCCCCCTGGGCGCCGTCCCTGCTCGTCGCGGCGCCCCCGGGGCGTCGCCCCTGCTCGTCGCGGTGCCCCTTGGGCGCCGTCCCTGCTCGTCACGGCGCCCCCAGGGCGTCGCCCCTGCTCGTCGCGGCGCCCCCTGCAGCAGCTCCCGCGGAGCCCCCTGCTGTAGTCGCGGCCCCGCCCTGCAGCAGTTGCCGCGGAGCCCCCTACCGCCATCGCGGTCCCGCCCTACAGCACCTGCCGCGGAGTCGCCTGCAGCAGTCGCGGCCCCGCCCTGCAGCAACTGCCGCGGAGCCCCCTGCTGCCGTCGCGGCCCCGCCCTGCTGCAGCTGCCGCGGAGCCGCCTGCACCAGACGCGGCCCCGCCCTGCAGCAGCTGCCGCGGAGCCCCTTGCGGCTGTCGAGGCCCCGCCCTGCACCTGTCGCGACCCCGCCGTCGCCGTCGT